TAGCTTTATAGTAAGCCTCGCAGCTGGGTACTTCCAGTCTTCAGACTTTGTTGTTCTTCCATCTTGAGCTGGCCATTCTGGGTGTCTTGAGTCTCCATGTAAACTTTGACATTAGTGTCTTGGTATTCACTTCTGGGATGTTGTGCGGAATTGTATTGAATCCATAGCCCAAACTGGGAAGAACGAACATTTTGACAATATCAGGTCTTCCTCTCCTTGAGCATGGAAATGATTTTTCATCAGGGTTTTGTAGTTTTCATCCCATAGATCTTGTGCATATTTTGTTAGATTTAACCTAAGTATTTCATTTTGGGGAGTGCTAACGCAAACAGTATCATGTTTTAAATTCCAAATTCGACTTATTAATTTCTAGTATGTAGGAAAGTGAGCAACTTTTTATATATGAAGGTTGTAAAATGCGACCTTGCTGTAATGGCTTATCAGATCCAGGAGATTTTTTTGGTTGACTGTGTGAGGTTTTCTACATAGACTCTTATGTCGTCTGTGAACACAGGCAGTTTTCTATCTTCCTTCCCTGTCAATATACTTTTTTTCCCTTGTCTTATTCCATTAGCTAGGACTTGCAGTATGATACTGAAAACGAGTGGTAACTGGGGACATCCTTGCCTTGTTCCTGATCTCAGTGGGAAATCCTCTAGTTTTTCTCAATAAGTATGATGGAGGGTTTTTATGGTTCTTCTTTATCAAGTTCAGGAAGTTCTCTTCTATTCCTGGTTTAGTGAGAGTTTTTATTACGAATTTGGGTTGGATTTTGTCAAATGCTTTCTATTAATATGATGAGATTTTTTTCTTCTTTGGGCTATTGATGTAATGGATTACAGTAATTGATTTTTGGATGTTGAACAATAAATCTCACTTAGTTGTGGTTTATAATTTTTTTCGTACATTGTTGGATTTGACTTGCTAATATTTTGTTGAGTATTTTTTGCATTTATGTTCATGAGAGATACTGGTCTGTAGTTTTCTTGTACTGTCGTCTTCTGGTTTAAAACTTCTGGTATTAGAGTAATTCTGGCCTCCTAGAATGAGTTGGGAAATATTCCCTCTGCTTCTATCCTCTGGAAGAGATTGTAGAGAAATGGCTTAATTTCTTCCTTAAATGTTTGGTTAAATTCAACAGTGACCTCATCTGGGCATGGCATTTTCTGTTTTAAAGGTTATTAATTATTGATTCAATTGCTTTAATAGATAAAGGTCTACTCAGATTGTTTCTTCTTGTGTAACTTCAGACCTTATGGCTGGATAATACTGCATTTTACGAATGTACCACATTTGGTTTATCTACTTAATGGGTTTTGTTTCCTTTTTTGGGCTGTCATGAATAATGCAGCTGGGAACATTGGTGTCTATGTTTTTGTGTGGACGTGTGTTCAGTTGTGGCTACAGATCTAAGGGTGCACTTGCTGGGTCATTTGGTAACTTGGTATTTAACCTTTTGAGGAAATGCCAAACTTTTCCCAAGTGGCTGTACCACTTATATTTCCCCCAGCACTCTGTGAGGGTTCCCATTTCCTCCCCAGTTCCTCCCCAATACCTGTTATTATGTGTCTTTTTGGTGATGCCTTATTTCTTGGGGGGGGAAGCCATTCTAGTGGCTGTGCTGTGATCTTTCATTGTGGTTTTGGATTTCTCCTGGTGATAGGAGGACCCTTTCTTATGCTTAGCAGCCCTTTGTATGTGGAGAAATGCCTATTTAAACCCTTGACTGACTTCTTAATTGGGTTGTCTCCTTGTCATTGAGTAAGAGTTCTTTGTATATTTACCTGTAACGCTCTAATTAGAAACATGGTTTTGCAAGTATTTTTTCTCCCATTCTGTAAGTTGTCTAAAGTTTTAAATTTTGATGATGCCCAAAGCTATCACTTGTACTTCTGGCGTTTGCGTCTTAAAAAAAAAAAAAAAAAAAAAGGATTGCCCAACCCAAGGCCAAGATCCAGTCCTGTTTGCTCCTAAGATTATGGTTTGTGACTTACATTTCGGGCTGTGATCCATTTTGAGTTAATTTTTGTGTATGTAGGGATGGAGGGGTCTTTTGCCTGTGGACAGCGTTGTCGCCATATCTTTGTGTTGAGAAGTCAGTTCTTTCCCCATTGAATGGTCTCGGTGCCCTTGTGGAAGGAAGATCGACAGAACGTAAATATGAAGGATCATTTCTAGACCCTCTGTTCTAGTCCATCAGTGTAGACGTCTGTTCTTAGACCAGCAGCACAGTCTAGATTACCACAGGAATCTTTGTAGGAGGCTTTGCAATTGGGAAATATGAGTCTTCCATACTTGTTCTTTTTCAAGACTGTCTTTCTGCCTCAGAGACCCTTGCATTCCATATGAATTTTACGATTAGCTTGTGAATTCCTGCAAAAAAGCCCACTGGGATTATGAATAGGAATTGTGTTAAATCAATAGGTCATATTGGGGAGTACTGGCATCTTAACAGTGTAAATTTTTTGATCCATGAACATGAGATGTCTTTCCATTTATTTATGTGCTTAATTTTTTTTCAGCAGTGTTTTATAGTTTTTACTGTACAAGTCTTGCACTTATTTTAATTTGTGAGTATTTTTTGATGCTGTTGTAAATCGAATTCATCTTCGCAGTGTTCGTTGCTAGTGTATAGAAATACAAGTGATTTTTGCATATCGATCTTGTATCCTGCAACCTTGCTGAACTAATTTGTTCTAGTAGGTTTTTAGTAGTAGTTTCCATAATATAAGATCATGTCATCTGCAAATAGAGTTTTATTTTTTGCTTTCAGATGTGTATACCTTTTATTTCTTTTTCTAACCTAATTGCCTAGGTTAGAATCTTCCGTATAATGTCGAATAGAAGTGGGAAGAACAGGTATCTTTGTCTTCTAATCGTAGAGGAAGAACATTCATTCTTTCACCATTAAACGTCATGTTAGCAGTGAATTTTTATGGACATCTTTATCAGGTTGAGAACATTTCCTTCTGTTCCTGGTTTGAGTGATTTTATCTTGAAAGAGTGTTGGGTTTTGTCCGTTACTTCTGTGTCTGTTGAGGTTGTTTGTGTGTTTTTTTTGTCCTTAATTAATATGGTACATTACATTGATTTTCTTATATGTCGAACCAACCTTCTGTTCCTGGAATAAATTTCACTTGGTCATGTGTATAATCTTTTTTTTTGTATGCTTCCCGATTACGTTCATCTCTGTTTATAAATTGTATCTTCCTAAGGGACTGACCATTTAATCATTTAAATATGTCCTCCTCTAACGATTTTTATTGTAAGGTCAATTTTGTCTGATACTTAGTGGAGCTCGTTCAGCTCTTTTTCAGTTGCTGTTAGTGTGGTTTATATCCTTTCCATCATTTGACTTTTAGTCTCTTTGTGTCTTACCCTTCTGTTTTATATCTCTAGTGCTTTGTTGGGTCTGTTCCTCCTTTACCGCCTTATTTCTTGGGGAGGGGGCAGGAGGACAGTACGCTGGGTGGAAGTAAAGGGCACGGACTCAACTCCCTGCTGTGTCACCATGCGGCCTTGAGGCCTGGGCACATGCTCCTCTCTCTGGGCTTCTTGCCTGTCCCCATCCCAGGGCCCTCCAGAGAACACGCGCCCCCCCCCCCACGCACCGTTCTTGCTGCCCCACTGGCCTCGTCAAGTATTTAACCTCCAGCCTTACTCATGCAGTCCCGCTTCCCTCTTCTAAGCACGTGTCCACTGTCCATCACTGCCCTGTCCGCCCGGCAGTCCCGCGCCCTAGGTGACGCCCCTGCAGTGTTGAATGGGGTCTAGGTTTTCTGATGGTGTTTTGTCGGAGGCTGCCGTCAGGCAGGGCCTCATTCCGTTACACCCAACAGCAGAAATCCAGCCTGCGTTTTATGGCCTGCACCCCTAATCAGCCATGAAAGCCCCCAGCTGCCTCCCTGTGCAGTGGGAAGTTTGTTAACAAAAGATTAATTAGTGGCATTGGTAAGCTTTGCCAGTGGCTACCTCCCACGGAGTGTCCCCTCCCAGCCCAGCCCACTGCCCTGGCTGCCTCTGTTGGGTGATGGGGCTGGGCCTCCAAGAGGAGCCCTGGAGGGCAGGCTGCCAGCTGCCCCGGGGTCAGTAGGCCTGGGGTAGTGAAATTAGGGATCTGTTTCTGTGGGGCCGAGCAGGACTGGATAGACAGATAAGGGTGAGAACCCAACAGTGGGCTGTGCGCCTGTGTCGATGAAGTGTGGACAGAGGACTCCCCAGGGTGCCAAGTGGACCTTCTCAGATAGGAGGCTGCAGGTGTCCAAGTAGAGGCCTGGAGAGACATGGTGCTCCAGGGCCCAGCAGTAGCGCAGGTGCTGGAGAACAGCGGGGCATCGGGAGAAGTTTGTGTGTAAAGGAACCCAGCAGCTCCAGGCCTGGATTGAGCCCTGCCCCTTGTCTGTGGGAAGGGCCAAGCCTCAGGTGTGACAGGAGGGGGCCGGGCCCCTGCACGAGTTCTGGCAGGGCCTGTCCTCTAAAAGGGAGTGGGTGCCAGGGACCTCCCATCTCTGAGAAGCGGCTCCAGGAAGCGGAGAGAGGCCCCATGGGGCTCGGGGATTTCATGTGGGCTTTCCAGCTGCTTCCTTGCGGGTGTTAGGCCCTCTCTGGCCTGCCCTGGCTTCTGGGATTCCCATGGGGCATATAGGAGGCAGAGAAGCTCATGTGGGGCCAAGCAGGAATCTTCACGGTCCCTGATGATGTTCTTGCGGGGGTTGGTGGGGGGGATGAGGAGGGAGCAGAGTCTGGGCAGCCACGGTGGGGGGAGGGGGCAGTTTGGGACAGCAGTGGGGCCAGCAGGGCTTGCTGCTCAGAGGCGTGTGGCCCCATGAGTCCTCCCCCCTCCTCCTCTGGGCCTCAGGTTCTCCTCCTGGAAATGAGAAGCCTCCCTTGGAGGAGGGTGGGACCGTGGCCTTCTGCTGGCGGCCAGGGCGTCTGGGTGGGTGGGAAGTGGGGGTGCCGGGAGCCCCTGTCCACAGCCGCTGCCCTCGTCCCGAATGCAGGCACGGAGTTCGAGTACACGGACTCGGAGAGTGAGGTCAAGGTGCGGAAGCGGTCGCCTACCGGGCTGCTGCGGCCCAAGAAGGGACTAGGGGAGCCCGGGCCCTCCCTGGCCTCCCCTGCACCTAGCGCCCGGGGCCCAGGTCCCACCAGCCCCGACAAGGCCAAGCTGGCGGCAGAGAAGGGGCGCAAGACCCGCAAGGTGCGGGGCGCCAAGGAGCCCGGCTTTGAGGCGGGGCCCGAGGCCAGCGACGACGACCTGTGGACACGGCGGCGGAGCGAGCGCATCTTCCTGCATGACGCCTCGGCCGCCGCCCCAGCCCCCAGCAGTGCCGCCCCAGCTGCCACCAAGCCCAGCCGCTGCGGCAGGGGTGGCCCGCTGAGCCCTCGCAAGGACACCAGCCGTGCCAAGGACAGGAAGGACCCCAGGAAGGTAGGTGCTCGGTGCAGGGCCTGGGGGGGTGGGGCGCGGCAGGAAGGGACCTGGCCTCACCCCTCCCTTACAGGGGCTCCCTCCCCTCCCGTCTCAGGGGAGCACCCTCCTGTGGGAGCGAGGTGCAGGGACCCCAAAGGAGAGCACTGCCGAGCCCCACCCCCCACTTGTGATAGGGAGGCGCTCGGCGTGCTTCTCGAGCAAGGGCTCTGGTACGGGTGCCCGTCTCCAGGTCGGAGTAAGTGCCGTCACCCCAGTGAGGAGCTTGAACCATAGGTCAGGGTCTCTGCGGTCACGGCCCTGTGCTACATGGCTGATTGTGCCGCGGACAGAGTCTGACGCTGTCGATCCTCCTGTGGCGCGTGGCTCCCCCCGACCACCCGCGGGATTCTTCCTGAATTGTCTGCCTGGGCTCCCCAGCTGGAGGATGCTTGCTTTCTGAGCTCTCTAGGACAGGCGTACTGCTCCCGTCCTTGCACAGGCTGCTAGGAAGCTCCTGGCCCGCTGTCTCCCCACCCCCGTTGGTGTGGTTGCGTTCAGGCCTAGCAGCCGGCAGCTCAGCAGTGGCCTCTGACTCCGGCCTCCCCATCCCCGACCCTGATGGAGGGTGATCTCTCGGATAACGGTGACATTCTACAGGATGTGGTGTTGAGGGATGAGATTCGGCACTGATTTCCTGTAACGGGCCAGTGAGGCAGGTGCCGTGTTCTCGGGTCCTTGGTGGTGATTGTGCTCACCTGTCTGTCCACGGCTGAAGCCCCGTCAGTCTTCCCCAGACCTTGGAGGGAAGGTGCTGGATACTACAGAATGCTAGTGGTGGTCTCACCAGGTGGTCTGCCGTAGGGCCCAGGTGGCCTCTCACCCCTTTACCACTTCGTACGTCCTTTACTGGCAAAGGGAAACTGTGCTGTCTGCTCACGACCCTTCTAGCACTGACTCCCTGGAGTTGGCGGAGGGATGCGTCCCACAGGACTGCCGCCCAGCCCAGCCCCTCTTCTCACGCCAGTCCCGGGCTGCAGCTTGGCCCCGAGTTTCTGGCGGCCGCACTGGCCGTGTAGCGGGGGTTCCCCGGACCCATGGCTCAGGGTCGATGATTCCCCAGAGCAATGCCCAGAACCCGGGGGGCGCTTTCCTTACTGTGACAGTTGATCAGGAAGCATACAGCGCAGCCACAGATGGAAGAGAGGTTCAGGGCGGGGGAGGACGTGGCGCTTCCTGCCCTCTGCAGGTGCTCCCAACCCAGAAGCTCCCTGAACCTCTTGCGTAGGGTTTTTTGGGGACTTCTTCACTTTGGCAGGATTTTTAACTCAGTCTCTGGATCCTCTCCCCTCTCCAGAGGATGTGGGGGGTGGGGGGTCGAGCTCAGAGTTCCTGGCTTCTCCACCTGGCTTGGTGTTGCTGGCAAGTGGCACCCATCCCAAGGCTAGCTGGGGGCTAACCCACAGTCGCCTCATCAGTACAAAAGGTGCTCTGATGATCCGGGACGTCCCAAGGGGCTTAGGAGCCCTGGATCAGGAGCCAGGGGCGGAGACCAAGTATGTATTTCTTCCCATGTCCCCGTATCACGAGACCCTGTGAAACAGGTTACGCGTATTAACTGGACCTCACAGGTGGCCTTGCTCCCTGCCAAGGTCATGGCTGCTTATGATCATCCAGGCTGAGCTTTGAATACCCCCTAGGCCACACTGGCCCCTGGGCCCTTGGCCAGGACAAGGCACCCTGTGTTGGGGAGGAGCGCAGGGGCTCACTGAGCCCAGCCTTCTGACAGCACAGTGAAGGCCTGGAACAGAGCAGGCAAACTGTTGACCGAAGGAGGACGGAGATGCCCGCGGAAACCCCCCAGGACCAGCCAGTGCTCATAGTTTTGGGAGATACGCTTCCATATCTTTCTGAGACTTGTACATTCCTGTTTGCCATCAGCCTTATTTTACCCTTCCTTTTTTTTTTTTTTTTAAAGATTTTTTTTTTTTTTTTGAGAGAGGGAGAGAGATCACAAGTAGGCAGAGCAGCAGGCAGGGGAGGGGGGACGACATCAGGCTCTCTGCTCAGCAGGGAGCCTGATGTGGGGCTCGATCCCAGAACCCTGAGATCATGACCTGGGCTGAAGGCAGAGGCTTAACCCACTGAGCCACCCAGGCGCCCCTTATTTTACTCTTCTTAAAAGCATTTTTATATATTTATTTTGTGGGGGAGGGGCAGAGAGAGAATCCCAGGCAGACTCCCTGCTGAGCACAGAGCCCGACCTGGGGCTCGAACTCAGGACCCTGAGATCACAACCTGAGCCCAAACCAAGAGTCGGATGTTCAACTGACCGGTCACCCCAGCACCCCAGGAGTTCTTTTCTTTCTTAAAAAAAAAAAAAAAAGTTTCCCAGAAAGGGGCTTTCTAGCCAGCGGGAAAGAAACCGTTGTCAGTGTTGTCTGATTAGAACAGGGGTGTGGAGGTTGCAGGAAAGGAAGGAAGTACAAGTCCACCTAGAGCTTGTCTTGCTGTCCCCGCCCGCCCCCGCCCGCACAGCTGCAGAGACGGTCACCTTAGGGTGAGCTACTTACAACAGATGTTTGGGGGAAAAGTCAACAGAACCACATTACAGACGGTCCTTCGACCCCCAGGATGCCTTCCGATTTCAGAAACGTGAACAGGATGTAGGCATGCATCTGAAACGAGAAAATGTAATTCTGTCTCGTCCCCCTGCAAGTGGGGAGCCACACTGAATACCTTCTGTCCCCGTACTGTCGTCTGCTCTGTCCCTTAGGATGCCATGTGCTATGGATGTCACTTGTCTATTGGGAAGCCATGACGTCCTCAGCGGTCTTTTTAGTATTCGCTCGGGATTCTCTCTTTATGTTTCTTCATTTCCCACATCCTCTGGTCCGTGATCTTGGTTGGTAGTTTCAGGAATGTGTCTTTTAAAAAGCATAAGGTGACCCCCACCACGCCCGATCCTGCCACCTGCCCATCTCCCCTGGGTCGTGCAGACCCTTAGCCTGAGCTGGCTTCTAGAACCAAGTACCCCCACATTGTTCTTTCCGCCGCCGCCCCTGGCCTAAAAGCTTGTAACTGGATCTGTGATGCGCCAGTGTTTCTAAGGTCCCGGGACAGCCGGGTGCTGGTGCCTGATGCCCGAAGCCGGCAGGTGTGCTCTCGGTGCTCTGAGACTGGTTTCCACGCCGTGGGCAGGGGCGGTGGGGGGCAGAGGGGCGGCCCATCCTGCTCCCCCATCCCTGGGGGGCTTGGAGTGTGTTGGACGTGGCTCTCCCCTCACTGCTGGGGTGCCCCAGAGGCAGTTGGAAGGGTTTTGCCTGCTCCTTCTGGCACATGCCTGTGGAACTCACCGGTATTGTCCTGTTTTTGTGGCATCACTTGGAAGTGGAGATCCCTGTGCATCCATCGCTGCGGAGTTAAATGACCTGCACCCCGCCCCCCCCAACACACACGCACACACACACACAGCTGCACATGAGCAGCGGCTGACGTGACTCAGTCTCTGAGTTTATCAGACAAACTTTGGGGAGGAGGAGTTGTAAGACAGGACTCTTGGTAAATTCCCTTCTGTGTTTAAAAAAAAAAGAACACCATGTGTGTGCAGATGTGGCTGCATAGCCCGTGGTTGTACGAGCTGGTGGAAGGTTCTGGAAGGATGTGCCAGGCAGCCACTGGTGATTCTAATTAGTGCTGTGGAGTTGATGGGCCGCACTGGAGAGGAAGTTACACTGATACACACCTGGGTCCTTTTTATTTTCTTTTTACAGTAAGTAACATATAGTAGTAATAAAACAATTAGGATTAAGAACAAACACACTTGCGGGAAGGAGGGGAGGTGTTTTGTTCCTCTCCCTGGAGGGTGAGTGGCGGGGGCGGGCGGCCTCTGATGGCACCTGTGATGCTTCCTCACCCAGAAGAAGAAGGGGAAGGAGGCTGGCTCAGGGGCTGCGCTGCCCCCACCCCGTGTTCCCGCCCTGCCCCCCGACGCTCGGGCTCCCCACACCGGCTCCCCGGCTGCTGCCAAGAGGAGCAAGGCCAAGGCCAAAGGGAAGGAGGTGAAGAAGGAGGTAAGGCCTGCTGTGCCCAAGAGTGAGGTCCCCATGGGCCCCTGCAGACGGGGGTGAGCTGGGCGTGCCCAGCCCCCGCGCCCTCCAGCCCCCGCGCCCTCCAGCCCCCGGCCGGGCTGTTCATCCTCAGACCCACTGTGTGTCTGAAGGTGCTGCGGCAGCACGTGTGGGCTCGGCCCTCCGACGTGTGGCCCCAGTTTGCCTTCCCTCGGGCCTGTGGGCTGAGGCCAGCTGGACCCCTGCTGCACCCGTGGCAGGTGTCCCTGCTGCCGGACGTGTGACCCCGGGTGTCTAGGGAGGGTCCTAAGCAGCAGGGCTTGGGATGGCGCGTCCTCAGGCATTGGCCTGCTGTGCTCTGTCCCCAGAACCGGGGGAAGGGGGGAGCCGTGAGCAAGCTGATGGAGAGCATGGCTGCTGAGGAGGACTTCGAGCCCAACCAGGACTCCAGCTTCTCCGAGGATGAGCACCTGCCCCGCGGCGGGGCCGTGGAGCGGCCGCTAACTCCGGGTGAGTACTGCAAGGCCGTGGGGGCTCCAGCCGGCAGTGGGCGCCCCAGGAGGGTACCTGGGGAGATGTCGGGCTGGGGCCCTGGGGTTGGGTGGGGCCTGGTGTCCGTGGTGAACCGAGAGAGGCCAGCTGGACTCCGGTTTGGTGAGCTCATGGGGTGGGGTGGGGGCACTGGGTGGGGGGGCGGCGCAGAGGCCGATGGCGGAGTCTCGCGGGCCGCAGGCAGAGTGTGGCCTTTGCCCTGTGGAAACAAGAAGCTGTCAGTTTGTCTAAGTCCGTGCAGCCACAGCGGTTTGGAAAGTGCATCCTGACTGCTTTGTCGCGGATGGGTTGGGGGGGTCCAGAGGGGGACGGGGAGTCCGGGTGGGAGGCCCTGTGAGGATCCCGGTGAGCAGCAGTGGGCTGCAGCGCTGTGGGGCAGCACGGACGGAGACGGGGTGGGATGAGGGAGATGGGATGGGGTTGGGCACATTGTGGGGGGGGGGCGTGTGGATGGATGAGAAGGGGTGCAGACAGGTAGTGGTAGGGTGGGCGTGGCGGGAGCAGGGGGGATGTCCCGTGCCATGCTCTGCTGGCTGGAGTATGGGGAGCCGGGAGGATGTCCCCGGGAAGCGACATATGCCTGGCACGCGGCCCCCGGAGTCTGGGGCTCAGAGGGGCGGTGGAGGATGTGAGTTGGGTGGGGCAGCTAGGAGCGAGAGGACAAGCAGGGCTGTGGGCCTTCCGCCCAGCCGGGAGTCAGCTGTGGTGTGTGACAGCCTCGCAGTGGTGTATGGCGGGAGGTGTCTGTCCTCCCCTGTCTGCAGGCCAGCTGGGCTAGTTCCAGCAGCAGGAGGGCTCGAGGGACTGCTCGGCGCTATGGCCGTGCTGCCAGAGGCTCCTGAGGGCAAGTGGGAGCTCCTCCCTTGTGCCACTGGCCAGAGGAAGTCATGTGACCACGCTGGGCACGGAGGGGTGGGCAGTCCACGCGCCCACGGAGAGGCTGGGGCGTGGGTGCAGGTGGCGATGGGCAGGTGGGCAGGCCATTCTGTGCAGCCCAGTGACCTGTGCGGGCTTGTCTAGCCTGGTCGCAGGCGGGTGGAGCCAGGCTCAGGGTCCCACGGGGCAGGAGAGTGGGCCTGAGTGTCGGAAGCAGTGTGGCCCAGCCTGGAGGAGGAAGACTGAGCTGCACTTGGAATTGGGGTGCCAGGATCAGGTGGCCTTCAAGCCGAAGGGCAGAGGCAGCTTCAGGATGAGGACAGGCTTGGAGGTGGTTCAAGGGGCCAGTGAGGGCTGACAGCCTTGCTGGCAAGTTTGGGGTTTGGCTTCCGCTGGGACCAGTCACATTCTAGGTGGAACGTCCTGGACGTTTGGCTGAAGGGGTAGCCGGCCCAGCAGGGGTACAATGACCTGGAGCCTCTTGCCCAGGCCCCAGCAGCCATGGTCTCTAGGGTAGAGGAGGGCCAGCACGAGCAGCCTGTCACCCCTGGTTCCTCCCTGCTTGGAAGCTTTCCAGAGGCCTGGGTCAGGACGGGAGAGGCTGCTCATGGCTCTCCGTGTGTCCCTGTACAAGGCCTGTCCGGCACACGGGTGGGCACACACGTGTACACACACAGCCTGCAGGGGTGGGGGAACGGGAGCTTGGGGCAGGGAGAGTGGGTCTCTGGCTGCCCCCTGGCTCCAGCCCTGCCTCGCCACTGCCCCCTCTGCAGCCCCGCGCTCCTGCATCATCGACAAGGACGAGCTGAAGGACGGCCTGCGTGTGCTCATCCCCATGGACGACAAGCTGCTGTACGCTGGGCACGTGCAGACAGTGCACTCTCCCGACATGTGAGTGGGGCCCTGGGGGGCTGTGTGGGTTGTGGCGCTGGGCTCAGGGCCTGAGGACCCTCAGCTGGTCCCATGTCCAGGGTGCCGGGCCCCTGGGGGCAGGTGGCTTTGCTTCTCAGAGCTGGGTGAATGGCCCCGGAAGCCCCCAGGATGTGCCGGCCTCTCTTGGACCCGGAACCCCTCTTCATCTGGGAAGGAAACAGACCCAAGAGGGGAAAGACTTGCCCCAGGTTTATATAGGGTGTCTGCAGCCCCCCAGGCTCCAATGTCCCACCTGGGAGGTCTGGGGGGCAGAGCTGGCACTTCAGGGTGGGCAGGAGGGTCCACAGGGTCCGTCCTATCAGCGCGTCCGTGCTGTGGCCTTGCAGATACCGTGTGGTGGTGGAGGGTGAACGTGGGAACCGGCCCCACATCTACTGTCTGGAGCAGCTGCTGCAGGAGGCGGTGAGGGCTGGGGTGGCAGCAGCCGGGTGGGTGGGGGCCGGGGCCATTCCTGGTCGACCCGGCGCTCAGTCCCTGGCTTTTCCAGATCAACGATGTGAGGCCGGCCTCCACCCGCTTCCTGCCGCAGGGGACCAGGATTGCGGCCTACTGGAGCCAGCAGTACCGCTGCCTATACCCGGGCACCGTGGTCCGAGGTGGGCCCCCTGACGTCTTCCCGGTGTCCGCCATTCCCCCATTCGGTCAGGCCCCAACCGCGACTGGGCACAGACGCGAGTGACTTATGAGGCCTCTGGGATGGCCACAGCCTCAGGCCCTCGCGAGGGCCCTCTGGCTTCACACCAGCCCCTCAGGGGTCCCGCCATCAGGGGAGCCCTCTTGATCCCTGATCCCCATTTAAGTCCTGGGATGGAGCTTGGGTCACACAGGTGTCACTGCTGCGGGTCTCACCCCCAACTCTAATGAGCAATGTTAGCTTTCAGATTCCACATGTGGACTGAGAAGAGGGGATAGTGGCCCCCCGGGAAAGTTGGGGTGCTGTTAGCAGAGTAAGAGTTTGGGGAGCTGGACCGATGAAAGTAATAGGAGCTGGGACAGCACCCCCTGTAGCCATTGCAGACCCCACACTTCCGGGAGACGGGGGTGTGGATGTCCGTTACCTTACCAAAAACACCACCGCCCGACCCGCTGCCCAAGACAGGACAGCCCGTGGCCGTCTAGCTTCCGTGTAGACACGGGATGGCGGAGTGGGGGTGCTGGGCAGGAGGTCTCTGTGGTCACAGTTCATCGTGATTCAGGTCCCCCGGAGCTTTCTGTGCCCTGGGCCACGATGGGGTTACTCTAGGGACTCCCCAGTCATCCCTCTGAGAATTTCATTTCTCCTGGAGAGTCTTTGTGTAGCTTTCTGAGAAAACCTGTGGGAGGTAAATCCTTCCACTAGGTGCGCACCTGATCGGTATTCAAGCCTGTGCTTAGAGATGGTTGAGCTGGGCATCAGGCCTGGGTTGGAAATGATTTTCTGCCCCCGCCTCAGAGTCACCAGGCCGGTGTCACCCAGCTTCTGATGTCTGAGAAGTTCAATGCTGTGATTACAGCCACGGCTTTGTAGGAGACTTGCTTTTGCTCTCTGGAAACTGTTAGGATGTTGTCATTATTTCTGGAGCTGGAATTGTGTGTGTGTCTCTGTGTGTGTGTGTGTGTGTGTGTGTGTGTGTGTGTGTGTGAGTCCATGTGTGTGCGTTGCTGGGGACTTGGGGGCAGAGGGCTCTGTGAAGCAGATGTCCTCTATCCCCAGCCACCTGCCCTGCCCCCGAGAGCTGGTCCCTCGGACGTGCACTCCCGAGCTGGGCCGCCGGTGGCACCTCTAGCTTTTTCTTCTTGGTTGTCTCTTTTTCACCGTTTGTTCCGCTTCCCGGGGAGGACCCTCCACTAACCGCGCTCTTCTGGCCCTTCCATTCTCTTGAGTTTTTGAAATTCCTGCTGTCATGGGAGAAATTCGCAAGAGATTTTTCTTATTTTCTGAATCTTTCCTTCCCTCTCCTCTCCTCTTCTCTTCTTTCCTTTTTGAACGTTTGTGTCCTGTCTTCATGTTTTGTTTTTTTTTTTATTATTTTGTTTCATATCTTGTTGCTTGTATCCGTGTTACCTTTTTTTTTTTTTTTAAGATTATTTATTTGACAGACAGAAATCACAAGTAGGCAGAGAGGCAGGCAGAGAGAGAGGAGGAAGCAGGCTCCCTGCTGAGCAGAGAGTCCCATGTGGGACTCGATCCCATGACCCTGAGATCATGACCTGAGCCGAAGGCAGAGGCTTAACCCACTGAGCTACCCAGGTGCCCCCGTGTTACCGTTTTTTAAACTTCCCCGAGAATCTGCGGTTTCCCTGTGGGGCTTCTCCAGCTCCCTTGTCTCCTGAGTCCCCCTTCCTCCCTCGCAGGGGGTCCTGTGCTCGCTCTTTGGCCTCCCTCTCCTGGGAGGCTGTCCTTTTGGTCCTGCTGGTCCCTAGGAAGCAGATCGGAAACTGTGTGGATAGGCCTGTGTTGTGGGGACCCCAGGTCTCAGCAGCCGGGGTGTACCGGCTGTAGGCCGGCACCCCGCCCATGGCCCTGTCCTTGGGGTCTGGCGGGGCGTTTGCATGTGGGAGCGGCTCTGCTGTGCGCTAGGCATACACCCGTAGCCTGCCCGCCCTTGCCTCGCCCCCTGTTGCTCAGGGGAGACTCTTGGGGGAGAGTCTTGGGAGCGAGTCAGGATACCGGAATGGGAGTGCTGGTGCTCCTGCTGGGACCACATGCTCTGAAGCTCACATTCTGCACCACTGTATACCTGTACTCACACAGGTCAAGCCCAGGGCTACTTACTGGCTGGTGTGTGCTCCCCTTGTGCCCCTCAGAGAGCAGGGTCCATGGGCCTCCCTCACTCTGCCCCTTCTGCCAACAGGCTTGCTGGGCCTCGAGGATGACGGGGATTTGATCACCGTGGAGTTTGATGATGGGGACACGGGGAGGATCCCCCTCTCCCACATCCGTCTCCTGCCTCCCGACTATAAGATCCAGTGTGAGTGCCGGCTCTGCTGTCCAGGGATGGGGCAGGGGTGACCCTCACGTCCACACCTGGCTCCCCCCTGAGCCCGACTCCGGGCTTTGGCCATGTTCGGACCATTCACACCCAGGGGGTGGCAGTGGCAGGAACCATGGGTGGGGCTCCCCGAGTCGGCATCAGGAAGGGGCTCCCCGGGCTCCCCAGGCCAGTCACTGGTACTGGATGTTCCATGCTCCCGGTGTCCACGAGAGCATGGAATTCCTGCCTCGGCCCTGGGTGTGATACGAAGCTCGGGTCCCCTGGCCAGGCTGCCTGACTTCTAGGGCTCTGTGGTTTTGAGCTTCCTCCGTGTTTTTGAGGCGCAGTCTTGGTTCCGTGGCACCCACGCTGTTCATTTGAGGAGCCCCATGGAGCTTTCTGTGTGCGCAGACACCTGTGCACCCCTGCAGATGGGGCCGCTCTCCCCAGCCGTGCAGCCCCTGCAGGGCAGGCCACGTGGGGTCAGCCACAGGGTTGCCCAGCCCCTGTCCCCCACGACAGACAACACTTGGGTGGCCGGGAGAGCAGAGACCTGGGCCTGAGCCCCCGTCTGTGTGCCCGGTAGGTGCGGAGCCCTCCCCAGCTCTCTTGGTGCCAAGCGCCAAGCGCCGCAGCCGGAAGACCAGCAAAGACACCGGGGACAGCAAAGATGGCGGCACCCTGGGGACGGAGGAGCCCGGCGCCAAGGCACGAGGGCGTGGGCGGAAACCCAGCACCAAAGCCAAGAGTGGTATGTCGGCCCCAGCTCGGCCTTGGCCGAGGCCCAGGGGCAGATGGGAATGGGTGGGCACGGGCCGCACGCCTCTGTGGGGACTTGGTCTCAGGGGTACTTGGACTGTGTGACAGATTGGGAGACAGAGGCCCTGGGAGGCACGTTGGTCTGTTGGGGGCAGAGTGGAGGTTCAGTCAGGTTCACTCCAGCATCTGGGGACAAGTGCTTGGAGCCAAGACAGCTGGGGACCACACTGGGGTCACCACTGATAGGATGACAGTGCCTGGGGAGCCCAGACTGGGCGCTGCTCAGGGGCGCGCAGGGCTGGGCTTGAAACAGGGCTTTCTGGCTCGGGAAGCCCCTGGCCCCGGCCTCACAGAAGCTTTTTTCTTCTCTCTTCTAGATAGAGCTGCCGTCCTGGAGGAGGGGGGCCCAACAGAGGAGGTCCCCAGTACCCCGTTGGCCCTGGAGCCCATCAGCACCCCAAGTTCCAAGAAGAGCCCCCCAGAACCCGCGGACAAGCGGGCCAAAGCCCCCAAGGCCCGCCCAGCGCCCCCCCAGCCCAGCCCGGCACCATCTACCTTCACCAGCTGTCCGGCTCCCGAGCCCTTCGGGGAGCTGCCGGCCCCCACCGCGGTCCTGGCCCCCGCCCCCCTCGTCGCCATGCCCATCACCATGCCCGCCACCCGGCCCAAGCCCAAGAAAGCGCGGGCTGCTGAAGAGGCGGCCCCCAAGGGCCCCCGGAGGCCCGGGGAGGAGGCCGAGCTGCTTGTCAAGCTGGACCACGAGGGCGTGACGTCGCCCAAAAGCAAGAAGGCCAAAGAGGCCCTGCTGCTGCGAGAGGACGCGGGGGCGGGGGGCTGGCAGGAGCCCAAGGGCCTCCTGACCCTGGGCGGCTACCCCTCGGCCGCGGGCGGCGGCGAGCCCAAGGCTGCCCGGCCCAAGGCCACGGACGGCGAGCTGGCCCAGGAGCCCGGGGCCGGGCTCGAATTCGAGAGCTCGGGCCACCCCAAGAGCCCGGAGAAGGGCCAGGCGGAGCAGGACGGGGCTGAGGAGTCGGAGAGCGGCAGCAGCAGCAGCGACAGCGGCGGCGGCAGCAGCAGCAGCTCCGAGACCGAGGGGGAGGAGGAGGCCCAGGGCGAGACTGAGGGGGAGGAGGAGGCCCAGGGCGAGACCGAGGGGGAGGAGGAGGCCCAGGGCGGTGGCGGTCGGAACTGTAGCGCCTCCAGCTCCCGGGCGTCCTCGTCCTCGTCCTCCTCCTCGTCGTCCTCGTCGTCGTCCTCGTCGTCCTCGTCGTCCTCATCCTCCTCGTCATCGTCCTCCTCCTCCTCGTCGTCCTCGTCGTCCTCCTCGTCGTCGTCCTCGTCCTCATCGTCGTCGTCGTCCTCGTCCTCCTCCTCCTCCTCATCCTCGTCGTCCACCACTGACGACTCTTCCTGCAGCTCCGACGACGAGGTGGCGCCTGCCCCCGCGGCGGGCCCGTCGGCCGCCCCAGCTCTCCCCAGCAAGGCGCCCAAGCCAGCAGGCAAGGGGCGCTCCTCGGCCCACTCCCCGGGCAAGAAGGCGCCAGCGCCCCCACCCCAGGCACCCCCGCCGCAGCCCCCGCAGCCCCTGCCGGCCAAGGCTCAGGCCGGGGCGGGGGCCAAGAGCCGACCCAAGAAGAGGGAGGGCGTCCACCTCCCGACCACCAAGGAGCTGGCCAAGCGGCAGCGCCTGCCGTCCGTAGAGAACCGGCCCAAGATCGCTGCCTTCCTGCCTGCCCGGCAGCTCTGGAAGTGGTTCGGCAAGCCTACCCAGGTACCTGAGGCCGGGGGCAGGGCGGGGTGGGGGGGGGGGGGGCGTGTGTCTGCCGCCGTGTGCCCGTCCTCCCATCTCCTCCTGTCTGCCGAGAACCGGGGGCGGTGGGGGGGTCGGGATGAGCCGCGCGAGGCAATCCCATGTTGTGCTGGTGGCCCCCGGGTCTGGTGTCCGAAGCCGTGTCCTCCCCACCCACCCCCAGCAGTGCTGTGTGTGATGTGGGGCCCAGACCTGCCCCTCTGCGGAACACAGGCCAGAAAGCAGGCAGGGATGGGCCCCCAGGGCGGGCATCCAGGCACCATGCAGAGGGGCTCTCAGAACCCCACAGACTCTCGGTGTGGGCTTCATGCTTAGCTGTCCTCGGGGGCGGGGGGCGGGTGGCGTGTGACCCCAGCAGGAGGCGCAGCTTTCGCTTTGGGGGCTGGATCGGGTCCCCGCCCACCCGTGATTGAAGGGAGCAGGTGCTGGTTGCCCAGGTCTAGGGTCACTTGGCCACCCTTGTCGTAGATGCCCCCCACCCCGCCCTCCGGGGAGCCTAGTGGATGGAGGGAGGGAGGGAGTGGCCACGGGTGGCGGGAAGCCTGGTGGCTGTCAGAGACAGGTTGGTGTAGGAACCGTAGCCGCCCACTTCAGGTCGAATTTATTTTCAGCCTTGAGCTGAGAAGGACTTCAGCGGTGTTCAGGACCTATAGGGTTCAGTGACAAGGGCATTGAGAAAGTCTGTCCCCACCGGGGTCCAAGGAATTAAAAGTAGGAAAACGGGATACCACAGCAGGTTGGAAATGAGCGTGTAGGTCTCCCCCGTTGAGGCAAACTGGCCGAGTGCCCTGGCTGAGGGAGTTTCAGATCTGAGTTTGGGATCGCGCTGCTTCCGTGGGGGAGCTCAGCTTTGCTGAGGTCCGATCCTGGGGGGTGCGGTGGTTGCCCCAGAGTTGCTTGGGGCTGTGGTGGGTTTTGGCATTTTGGTGTGTTTCATCTTTGGACCCGCACGTCTGTCTCCATGCCAGTCTATGAAGTGTTTGTTGAGTGACTAAGAAGAACCCAGTGCGCTCTCAGGGCCTGGCCGAGGTGTGCCTTGTGCTGCATCATGAGGGCCCCGGGCTGACCTTAGTCAGGAACGTCCCTGGGGGGAGGTGGATGTGGTCCAGGACAGCACCCGATCAGGCCACCTGGGCGGCCGACTCCGGGCCCCACGCCGCCTGCGGGGGTGTAAGAACGGGGCTGTGCAGCCGGTGACCCGAAGGGCTGTGTGACCGTTGTGGGGGGTGGGATGCTGCTGGAGCTGGGAGCCTGCCCTGTCCCCTTGCTGGGGCTCACTGTCCTCCTCTGGGCCTGGCTGCACGAGTATCCTGGACAGTGAGTGCGGGGTCTGCGGGCCCTCCCAGGCGCCCGTGCCAGCACCGCTACGGAGCAGGGAACAGAAGCCCCTCCTAGCGGCGCGTTGTCCGTGTCAGGCGCTCCGTGTGTGGAGGGGTGAGGAAGGCTCCCTAGCTAGAGCGAGCAGGGCGTCGGCTCCCTCCCAGCCCGCCCCTCCCGCAGGACACCCTGAGCTCAGGGACAGGGGCAGGCCGGCCGGGGCCCCCTGACCCACAGCGTGTCCCGCAGCGCCGCGGCATGAAGGGCAAGGCCCGCAAGCTCTTCTACAAGGCCATCGTGCGTGGCAAGGAGATGATCCGCATCGGGGACTGCGCCGTGTTCCTGTCCGCCGGCCGCCCCAACCTGCCGTACATCGGCCGCATCCAGAGCATGTGGGAGTCGTGGGGCAGCAACATGGTGGTCCGCGTCAAGTGGTTCTACCACCCCGAGGAGACCAGCCCGGGCAAGCGCCTCCACGAGGGCCAGGTGACGCGGGGGTGCTGAGCAGCCCAGAGGTGGAGGCCGGCGGGGGGCGGGGGGGGTCTGGGTTCTGGGATAGCGCAGGATTGCGCAGGGCTCACAGCCTCCCTCTGTCCGTCCCACACGCAGCACTGGGACCAGAAGTCCGGCCGCAGCCTCCCGGCCGCCCTGCGGGCCTCCAGCCAGAGGAAGGACTTCATGGAGGTAGGGACTCGGGGTGGAGGCCAGGCCCCGCAGGCTCTCCGCACCCAGCATGGACGGGGTGCGTCCGGGCCCCCGGCCCCAGCCCTGTGTCTGGCTTGGTGCTGTCTGCTGCGCTGTCTCCCTGCACTTTGGGGCCCTTAGGCCTTTGGGCCTTTGTGTTGGTCTGTGTGTCTGTCGGATCTCTCTTCTCTGTGTTTGAGCCCTGGCCTCGGCCTCTCTGGGGTGGGGCGGAGGGGGTCTTTCTCTGTCTCTGCCCTCAGGGGCCCCCCAGCCCTGACGCCCGCCCGCCGTGCCCGCAGCGTGCCCTCTACCAGTCCTCCCACGTGGACGAGAACGACGTGCAGACTGTGTCGCACAAGTGCCTGGTGGTGGGCCTGGAGCAGTATGAGCAGATGCTCAAGACCAAGAAGTACCAGGACAGCGAGGGTCTGTACTACCTCGCGGGCACCTACGAGCCCACCACGGGCATGATCTTCTCCACCGACGGCGTGCCTGTGCTCTGCTGAGCGCCCCGCGCCCTGCCGGCTGCCTCGCGCCCTGAGCGCCGACGGGGACCCCTCGCCAACACTGCCACGTCTCGGGGACCACGCGCGTTGGTTGTGTGCATGCAAGTGTGCCCTTGGACGGCCCGGCGTACGTGAGTGTGTACATGTGTGTGCCTGTATGCATGCACGTGCGTGCACGCGTGTGCACACGTCCCCAGCCCCCCTCCCACGCCCCCGGGTGCCCCCCCCCCCGCCGGGGCTCCTCTCTGCTATCAGGGTATGGCTCTGCTGGGCCCTGGGCTGGGGCAGCCCCTCCAGCACCTTGTAAGCACTTGGCCGGGCGGGGCCCTCAGGACCCAAGCGCCTCCAGGCTGAGGCCAAGGCCCAGCAGGGATGCAGCGGGGAGGGGGTTTTTCAAGGAACCAAACTGACACTCGCTCTGGGGTTCCTGCTGCTTGAGGGCCCTTCCCAGGGCTCTTAGGGCCCAACCCCCCTCAGCACGGAGTTGCACCCCAAGCCTCCAGCCGTGAGATGGGGTAGGGGGTGCAGACGGCTGCCCTCTCACCAGCCAGGCCAGGCCTGCTCGGGGCTCCGGCCAGGGGCCCGGCCTCTGCCCTCTCAGGATGGCCTGGACTCTGGCGCAAGAGCCAAGTGCCAGGTTGGGGGGGGGGCGGGGGGCTGCTCACCCTGAGGCCCGGGGGAGGCCCACCCCTCCCGGCCTGGTCCGTACACTACACACAACCCCAATGGTGCTGAAGCCCCGGCCCCGGCCGCCTGGAGGGAGCGGCAGCTCTCTAACCTGTACAGTTCTATTGTACCAAGACAAGAGACTCTCCCCGCCCCTGTATCATACGCCTTTAAATGGAGTCAACTTTTTAATTATATATATAAAGATAAATATATATAAATATATATAAATATAAACTTTTTAAAACTGTGAAAAAATAGCTATGAAATTATAAAAAAAGCAAACACATTCTGACGTGCAGAATATTATTTTTTGTTTCCTATTAGATTGTGAGTGTCTAGCACCCAGCTTCACGGGCCTCCCTTGTCCTGAGCACACCCCACACCCCCCCACCCGGCCCAGGTGTACTGTACTCGTCCCCAGAACAGAGAAGCAGTTAGGGAGAGCAGAGGCGGAGGGAGGGAGGGGGGGGCCGGCCGGGCGCAGCGGCCCTGCTCCCCCTGCTCGGCCCCGAGAGCACTTACCAGCCCCTGCGCCTTCCAGGGGGACGGGAGGCCTCGTCCAGACAATCTTAAGGGAAGGAAAAGCCAGACTTCGGTTTTGTTTTTTGGGGGACTTACTGTTTTCCTTTTTTTTTTTTTTTTTTAAGTTTCTTTTGGAATTTTGTTGGCGAATTCTGTGTGATCTTTTTCATAAAAAAAAGAAAACAAAAGAGAAAAAGCTATAATCGGAGAACTGCTGTTGTCTGGAGTGGTTCATTTCGGGACTGGGGGGGACCCTCTAACTTTCCAGGGCCAGGACGGAGGGGGGCACCTCCCCTCATGCCGGGCTGTTTACACCCAAGCTCCCGTCAGTGAAGGGAAATGAAGGGTTTCTCAATGGCCCTGGCCACATCAAAAGCCAGAAGTGGCCGTGCTGGGTGGCTGAGCTAGGGGACAGGACCATTGGTGCCAAAAGCACTCTGGGCCAGTCCGAGGCTGGAGGTCTTGCACTCCCAGCCACGCCCACATCTGCAGACCCCAGAACAAGGCCAGTGCAGTGGTCTCAGGGATCCTGGGCAGGGGTGGGGATGTAGGATGCACCCCTGCAGGGTTGGGGAGAGGCTGGGCCCTGCTCCTAGTGCTGCCACCCCCGCCTCCTGCCCTGTCAGCTCTCAGGCTGACCCCACAGGTACTTGCCCAGCGACCTGCCGAGGGAAGGACCCTGGTGGGCCTTTTGATCAGAGAAACCGAGTCACCGGCCCCCTGGCGGCCACACCCACCTGGAGCAGTGTGCTCGCGCCACCTGGTGGCCCTTTGTGGTATTGCCTTCAGGTCTTGGCTCCCATGGCTGCCCACGGTGCCCACCTCGTGGGGCGGGGTGGAGGGGGCGGTGATACCTGCCCAGGGGGTCCCGGTGGGTGGGTCCCCGAGGCTGCAGGCCTGGACCACAGCCCCTCTGATGGCCAGCCCCTCTGTGTAACCCTTCTCCAAGGGACTCACACCAAAAAGTGGACCAACACCACTGCTTGGGGAAACTAAGACACCAAACCATACAGAAAATTGTTCGTATCCCACGAATCAGCAGCATGAGCAAGACTGGAGCCCAGCACCCTCAGCCTCCAGTCCTGGCTCCATCCCTGTGGGCAGGGGGCAAGCTCTCCCTGCCTTTTGTCTTTTTCCCTGTTCAAAAGCATGGGGTGCAGCCCTTCTCCCTGACCGGAGAGCTGAAGGAGCACCAGGGTGCCCTACGCACCCCCAGATGCTTCCAGCGCCCACGCCACTGTCCACCGCCTGGCTGGTGCGTGGAGATCCTCCAGCTATGGGACTGGTTCACCCCTGCCCCCCGCCTAGGAACTTCAGGCCTGGATACGGACAAGGCCACTTGACAGATGGGAAAACTGAGGTCCCAGCCATGTGGGTGGCCCCGTCCCGCCAGGACCCCTTCCCCAACCCCCAGTGAACGAGGTGGTGGGGACAGCCCCCACCCGCACAGATGCTACTCAGAGGCCGCAGCTGAGCAGGTCTCTGCCTTCATCTTTTAATGGCCAGTGCGGTACAGTTAGTGGACAGACGAGGGACAGGACACAGGGGCGGGGTGCTCACAGGGGTGCCATGGGCGTGGCAGGGCAGGCTCTCCTCCCCTGGAAAAGCCTGTCTTTGGCAAAACGCTCTAGGATTCCCTCAGTTCGAGGGTCCTGGCTGGGCAGGGACCCCGCACCCCTCCCTTCTCGCAGGGACTCACGTCCCTCCTTGGGCCTCGCTGAATGAAGATCAAGGACTCAAGCAAGCCATGACTTCAGCCGGAGTGTGACCCTTGTAGCAGACAGGTGGAGCAGCCAGAGACGTGATGGGGGTCCCCAGGCAGGTGCAGACCGCCAGGCCGGTGGCATCAGGTGGGCGCCCGGGTGCACGGCAGCAGGGGGAGGGGGGCACCCAGGCTGGTGCAGAAGCTGTGGTCGGTCGTGGAGAGGCCAGTGGAGACCATGGTCTGAGGCCACTGGGACCCAAGGCTACTGTTCCTTCATGGCAAATGCATTTTGCTTGGGAGAACCAGTGTTTGGGAAAAAGGGCGGGGGGAGTGGGGAGCCCCTCTCCTTGAGGACTTATGTCCATGAGGAGGGCTCCCTGGTGAAGGAGAGCTGGGGTTGGGGGGCCACGGGTGGGGCGGTCGGCTCTCCGGGCCGGGGATGGCCGTGACCCTGAGGTCACTGCACACACACGGTGAAGGGCAGGTGTGAGACAGAACAGGGAGCACAGTGCTGGGTGGCCTGGGGTGGCCGATGGCTCAGCAGAACCCTGGGGCCAGAGTGACGGGCGTGACTGTCACGGGGAGGAGGCCGGGGTCCCGCAGGCACTGTAGGCAGGGGGGTGGGAGGGGGCCTCGGGCCTCGGGTCAGGGGCTATGGTGCAGGGGGTGCCCAGGCCTGGTTCAGAGGCCGGAGGGGAGGGAGAAGTTGGCGGACGTGTGGAGACAGCTGCTGGGAGTGTCCCGCGTGAGGCTGTAGGTGCAGTAGGCCACCGCCGAGCCCAGCGTCAGCCCCGTCATGTAGGACACGGTCATGGTGTTCCCTGCGGACGACACCGGACCTGAGGCGGCGGGCAGGGGAGGGCGCTCAGAGGACCAGCCCGGCGGCCCGGAGTCCGTGCTGCAGGCTCCTTGGGCGTGGAACAGGCGGCCAGCCGGGGACCGTTATGCCCCAGGGGATTCACGGGGTCCCCAGGCCCTGCTGCTTCACTTGTCTCCTGCCCCCCACATCTCCACATCCCTCCTTGTCATGGACAATCCAGGACGTCTAAGGGCTTCTCGAACCACAGTGCCCAGAACACACTGCAGGACCTCGTGCCCTCGACCCCCCTTCCCTTCCATCTCAGTGGGCGGCGATCTTGGAACAGCCCCAGCCTGGGGACTCCCCGATTCCTGTGTCACGTCTGGTCTCCCAATCCACCAGCCAGCCCTGTGGGCTCTACCATCAAAACCAATCCAACATCTACCACTTTCTTGCAGAGACGCAGCACCCGCCCTCTCAGAGCCCCAGTCGCCTACGGTCTGGACGAGCTTACCCTCCCTCTTCCCTCCCGCCCCAACCCTGCTGTTCCCTCCTCCATGTCCAGGCAGCACTGGAAGGGGTCTTAACACACATTCTGGTCCTGCCCCTCTTCGGGCCTCCCACCCCTACCTACCCTGGCAGACCCCCAACCGTGGGCTATGCTCCCTGGCTTTCGAAAGGGCTGTTCCCTTGCATTGCCTCACGGCTGGCTCCCTCCCCACCTCCTCCAGCTCTTTGCTCAAAACTCACCTCCCTGGGGAGGCCTTCCCTGACTACCCCGCTTACATTGCAAATTCCCCAGCCCAACAACCCCATTCCTTTCCTCTGCTTGGCTTTTCTCGGTCATGCTTCTGTCCACCCCTCAACACGTTGCACGTATTGTCATGTGTCACCTTGAGACTGTCAGCCCCACGAGCACGGGGATCATTGCCCCAGGTCCCCGGTGCCTGGAACCGGGCCCGGCACAGTCGGGACTCAGAGTAGTTGTGCGATGCCCGGAGGAATAAGTGACTGATGCACATTCCGCCCCTCTGAGCTCCCTGAGCTCGACTTGACCTTGGAACCCCGACGCACCTGGTGGCTACATGGCCTTGGTTTCCGTGGGCCTCCATTTCCCTGCCTTACCTGCCAGCTCGCGCTGCTTGGGGCTCACTTTGCCCGCCGCCAGGATCATGGGTACGCTGCCAAAGTAGCCGCTGCTAACACCCATGAGCAGAGAGAAGACGCAGGGCCAGGCTGGGTGGCGCAGGGTGGGCGCGCCGCTGGGGTAGACGCACAGGATGAAGAGGGGAATAAAGGCCACGCGCAGGCAGGAGCAGGCCAGCAGGTGGGGGCCCCGCCAGTCCACGGGCAGAGCCGCCAGGATCTGTGGGGAGCCGGGCACGTTCACGGTCTCTCCCAAGCCCACTGCCCCTCCCTACTGTGGCCCCCAGACCCGGTCCCTGTCCCTGGGGGCTCCCAGCCCAGGGTGTGTCCCTGTTCTC